CGCTGCCGCCTAGTATGGAGTTCTTGTCAGTCAATACGTTCTTTTCAACTCTGTTTTCTTTCACATTGATTTTAACACATCTGTGTGGAACTAGAAGATTCTATAGAAAAGTATCCAATCAATGTACTTCTTGCACAAAGTATATATCAACAAAAAATTAAACATGGATGATTAAAGATGTCAAGATGAGATACAAACCCCATCCAGCAAGATATTTGAAGTCTTGAAATCACGGTAGATAACAGGTCTTTCTGCACCATGAAGAAAAGCAAGCCCTTTTGCTGCATCTAATGCAATCTTCATCCTTATAGGCCATGTCAGTGTATTATGTCCTGTTAAGAGAAGTGCAGACGACTGTTTTAGCTGATGGGTCTTGTTGGCTATTCAAGCATTTTCACTACATGCAATTTTTACTAAGTAAATGTAGGGAGATAATCAAAGAATATTGTTTTTTGAAATCGGCGAATATCTTTTATCAGATCTTAAAGTACATCAATTCAGCCTAACACTTAGTGGGAAAATGTAAGTTTTTATTGAAGTAAAGCATTTGTATTTTCCTTAGAAAGCCATATAAATAGAAAGCTACATGTAGACCACGGTTGCATGCAATTACAGAGAATAAATATGATAGTATATGAACTTGAAAACAATAACATACTATAGTATAAACAATATAGCAATGGTTTCCTTACGTCTAAAAAGGTGTGTTTCTAGGCTCCCACTGGCCATGTACTCATAAACCAACAACCTGTGCTTATCCTCATGGCAATAGCCAATAAGTTTGACGAGATTGGAATGACTAAACTGCCCAAGATAGTTCACTTCTGCCTGCAAGAAAATGGTGGGGAAAATAGAAAGTGAGTCCTTTTGTTCCCATCAGTGCCTTTGCCATATTTGTCTATCGGGAACGTGGACAAGTGAGGGATGTGGCAGTTGGCATACAAGAATTCTTGACACATGCTATACATATGACAAAAGAGATTTAGAAATTCATGTGTTAAACATGGATTTGTAGATTTAGTATTAATTTTCATCTTGCATCAATGTGTACAAACATTAGGAAACAATCAACAGGATATAACAAACTATAAACTTTCAAAGTAATTGCATACAAAAATTACATTTAATGGTATATCCATGCAGAATCATAAATATCAAATTTACAGATGTTTTATTTCCTAAAGTAATATTAAAAGTATCTGACTTCAACTTTATAACATTTTCAGGGCATATTGCAAAAGTTACATTTGAAGTGATGTTAACAAACTCCCCTTCTTTCTCTGAACCAACACCAAAGAGCATCTAGCAAAACTACTATGCTTGGTAGACTCATGGAGGTGCATGATAGTATATCATAAGAGTAAATAAAAATGTTTTTTGCGGCTTGTGCACCAATGGTCACTTTATTCTATAACTAAAGTATTCCGTTATTTGCAACAAACTTATAACATGATATTTCACACCCATACATTCTGTCGTCTGTGCACTAATTTGAATACTTGAACAAGATGTAGTGGATAGATTATCCATTAGATTTTGGGATGAGAAGTAATTCTCAAGATAAGTTTTCTTTTACTACTACCTGTCTCCATGTATGATATTCACGTCTTCCTGTCTAAGACCTTACTGCTTATCTTAATGTCTGAGGGGGACCGGCTTGTGTCCCTGTCTGAGATCCCACTGTTTGCCTCATGTTTTGAGTCTTAGCCATCTATCTTCATTCATGTCTAAAATTCTGTTGCCTGTCTATGTGTGAGACCCTACAACCTGTCTCTATGTTACACATTACAATTATTTTCATCATCTTGATCTTCAGATAACGCCATAAGATTGCATGCATATTTTAGTCACGCCCCGGGCCCTCGGGCCCATTGGCGCGTGCAAGCCGTGGGACCCACCGAGTGTAACACACTGCTTGGCTCAAACCACTGCCAAAATCGATTAGCCGATGTTACACTTAAGTCTTTAGCTTTCACTATATAAACCTTTTAATTTTTCATTCTCCCACCGATGTGGGACTAAATATTTTTTTTTTGCAAATGTCGCTATCGCTGTCGCTGTCAGTGGGATATCACATTTACCCCACCTTACAAAAGCGATGTCCTCGTCGCGGCATGACAATTAGCACATCCCAGTATCACCGTCAGGCGATGTGGACTCTAGAGGTGACTCCTACGAGCTCTAGAGGTGGCTCTCACCGCATCTCACGGTGTAGCACTTAGCACCGTATAGCACTTAGCTCCACACTTCCGGCTGATAACTGCTCTGATACCAATTGTCACGCCCCGGGCCCGCGAGCCTATTGGCGCGTGTAAGCCGTGGGACCCACCTAGTGTAACGCACTGCTTGGCTCAAACCACTGCCAAAATAGACTAGCCAATGTTACACTTGAGTCTTTAGCTTTCACTATATAAACCTTTTAATTTTTCATTCTCCCATCAATGTGGGACTAAATTTTTTGCAAATGTCGCTATCGCTATAGCTGTGTTTTTCATTCTCCCACGGTCCCACCGATGTGGGACTTTTTTTTTTGCAAATGTCGCTATCGCTGTCGCTGTCAATGGGATGTCACAATTTTATACGAAAACGAAAATGGGAACTGGTTACTCTTACCATATCAAATTCTTCTAACAAGGACTCAACTGATATTGTTGCTGACAAAATTGGTGATGATTGGAACGAGATAATGACTTGGTAAAAACTATGAAGAAGAAGATGATACTTCCTTTTACTAAAGTATTGCCGAGAAATTTTTTCACATTTTTGCAACAAACTACACACACACACGAGGTGGAGTGTTACAATAGTTTCTATTATGACAGCTTAAAAATATTTGCTTAAGATTCACAATAGGAAATATGTAATTCTATCCTATTTAAAACTGGACTGCCGCTCTAGCGAATGAACCAGCTTTTCAATGCTGGGATATAAATAAATCTAGTTAGGTGTTTAATCACCTAGACCATTGCACAAAAGTGTCAATTGGGTGTGGAAGTTCAGGGTCAGGGCAATGGCTTTTTTCTAAAAAATATGTTAGATTTTGTTACGACTTGGATAAAATGAATTTTAAATATCTTTAATGTAATAAAATTGAATTGATTCTCATATTTAGAATAGGCTAATGAATAGATTCTTTTAGGATTTCTATGGGATCTCTGTATTAATCCTCCTGGTTTGTATTAATTCCTGTTACAATTATCTGCGTATTTCTCTAAAGCCACGTCCAAGGGTCAAGAATGTTCTATAAAGGAAAGCTGTTAGATTTACATGTTATTCCAGTTTTCCCAAATCTGTATTTCCATCTGAGTAGTCTTCTTTTACAGTGTTATTAATACCCTTTAGATAGAAAATTTTCTAGCCATAGTATGTTTGTAAGTTGTAACTAAAAGCGGTACCTTTAAACTTATATGACAAGTACCTTAAATGTTCACTCTCATTAGCAGCTCTTAAAGAAACATATTTAACAATATGGTCTGACCACAGTAAACCAATTCTACGCATCTTTAGCAGAAAAGATACTTCTTACAGCTATTTCCATACTATGTTTTATTAATTAAAAAAGTTGTAAAATGAAACAAAGAAATGGGGCAAAACTAAAGAAAGGAAAAATTAAGGAAATTTTACCAGCCATTCCCTGTCTCCCTGGTAGCCATCTGGGTTGAGCTCTTTAACGGCAACTTTGGTTGACTTAAAACCTGGCCTTACATTTTCATCTATAACACCCTTAAAGACAAGCCCGAATCCACCCTCACCAAGAATTAAATCTGGCCGGAAACAATCTGTGGCCACTGTCAACTCTTTGTATGAAAATTCGGTGCAATTTTTAAATTTACAAATCTGTTGCAAATCCTCCATATCTTTGGGATTCTCCACTGCAGTTACAAAATTTCCTGTCACTGACGTACTTTGAATAGCACTCGTCGCCGGGGCACTTATGATACTGCTACTCACCGGTGTACTCCCAATACCAGTGCTTATTGCCACATTTTCCTTATTGGAGCTCTCCTGTGTAATTTTCTTTGTGGGTGTCCTGGATCGTGCAATAGCTTTTCCAAATACAACTGTCAAAGAAGATAGCGAAAGTCATATTAAAGCAAAAATAAGGAAGTGAACATCTTGAAACAAATCCACTTGGAAGTGGACATCTTGAGCTACTTTTGTACCCACACTCTTAAACACAATGCCCAAGGTCCAGAATCCACGAGTGGAAGTAAAAATGTAATAGCAAAAACGAACACACACACACCCCGGCCCCCGCACAATAATAGCAACAACTAATAAACCAAGTGACAAAAAACTAATAATACATCAACACATAAATATACAAACAAACAAAAAGCAAAAATAAGATGATAAACTAAAAAAATAATACTTTTCAAATTAGTCTCTCGAAGTTTTTAGAATTTAAGAAAATCCCTGAATTCTTATGAGAAAACCTCTGTTAGCCCTTGTAGTCACTCTAACTATGTTCTTATCATGGATGATATTCTAAATAAGGCTAATGGATTCAGACAAGGTTAGATTTGTTTGTATTAGCTAAAGATCTAACTTAGGAAAAATTCTCTAAAGTCCCCAGACTTGAAATCACATAACCTCTCCAATTTCAAAAATGATCAACAAGCCTCTTTAGGTTCTAAAAAAGGACTCAAGAAGGATTATGAACAGACATTCGTATCATTTTCACTTCTCCATTTCCAAGTAAAAGGACACCCTAATGCTCGTTCCAACCTTTCCCTGCCCAAATAAACGCAGGCTACCTCCATCGTCCTATCAAACACAAACCAGAATCCCAAATCTCAATTGTACTTATAACTCAACTTTTATCATGTCCTTTTACACTTTTTTATTAAATTCCTCATTATATAACACGAGTCTGATCAGTTAATTTATCAACATACACATTAAAAATTTGAATTGTGACAAGGGAGTAAAAGGGGAAAAGGATTATATGTTTGGGTTTAGTACTAAATAAGTCATTAGTAGGATATGATATGACCTAAGAGAGAGATCTTATCGGGAACGGACAGTGAGGGATGTGCAGTTGGCATATCCAGAATCTTGACACATGCTATACATGACAAAGAAATTTAGAAATTGCAATGTTTAAAACATGGATTTGTAGATTAGATTTAATTTCATCTGCATCAATGTGTACAAACATTAGGAAACAATGCACAGGATATAACAACTATGATAACTTTCAAAGTAATCTGCATACAAAAGATTACATTTAATGGTATAGATCATGCAGAATCATAAATATCAAATTACAGATGTTTTATTGCTAAATAATATTAAAAGATCTGACTCAACTTTAATAAACTTTCAGGGCATATTCAAAAGTTACCATTTGAAGTGATGTTACAAACTCCCCTTCTTTCTCTGAACCAACACCAAAGAGGCATCAGCAAAACTACTATGCTTGATAGATCCATGGAAGGTGCATGAAGTATATCATTAAGAGCAAATAAAAAGTTTTTGTGCGGCTTGTGCACAATTGAGTTCACTTTTCTATAACAAAGTATTCCGGTTATTGCGAAACAAACTATATAACATGATATTTCACCAACCATACATTCTGCTTCGTCTGTCGGCACTAATTGAATACTTGAACAACGATGTAGTGGATAGATAATCCATTAGATTTTGGATGCAAAGTAATTCTCTCAAGATAAGTTTCTTTACTACTACCGTCTCCATGTAATGATAATTCACGTGTTCCTGTCTATAGACTTACTGGCTATCTTAATGTCTGAGGGGGACGCGGCTTGTGTCCCTGTTCTGAGATCCCACTGTTTGCTCTCATGTTTTGAGTCTTTAGCCATCTATGAATTGCATTTCATGCGTCTAACAATCTGGTTGCCCTGTCGTATGTGTGAGGACCCTACAACCTGTCCTCTATGTACATTACAGATTAATTTCATCAATCGTTCGATCGTTTCAATAACGCCATAAGATTGCATGCCATTTATTAGTCACGCCGACCCGGGCCCTCGGCCCATTGGCGCGTCAAGCCGTGGACCCACCGGAGGTGTAACACCTGCGTTGGCTGCAAACCACTGCCAAAATCGATAGCCGATGTTTAGCACTTAAGTCTTTATGCTTTCAATATTAAAAGCCTTTTATATTTTTCATTCTCCCACCGATGTGGACTAAATATTTTTTTTGCACAAATGTCGCTAATCTCGCTGTCGCTGTCAGGGATATCACTTTACCCACCTGTACAAAGCAGGATGTCCTGCAAGTCGGCGGCATGACAATTAGGCAAACTCCCAGTATTCACCGGTCAGGGCGATGTGGACTCTAGAGGTGACTCTATTGAGTCAGAGGTGCTCCTACGCATCTCAACGTGTAGTGCACTTATGCACCGTATAGCGAACTGTACTCCACATTCCGGCTGATAACTGCGCTCGATACAATTGTCACGCCCCCCGGCCCGCGAGCCATTGGCGCGTGTAGAGCCGGGACCCACGCTAGTGTACAACGCACTGCTTGCTCAAACCATGCCAAAATAGACAGCCAATGTTACACTTGAGTCCCTTTAGCTTCACTATATAAACCTTGTTAATTTTCAATTCTCCCATACAATGGGGACTAAATTTTTGCCAAATGTCGCTAGCCTATAGCTGTGTTTTTCATTCTCCCACGTCCACCGACGATGTGGGACTTTTTTTTTTTGGCAAATGTCGCTATCGCTGTCGCTGTCAGATGGGATTCACAATTTATATACGAAAACGAAAAATGGGAACTGGTTACTTCCATATCAAATTCTCAAACCAAGGACTCAACTGATATTGTTGCTGACAAAAATTGGTGATTGATTGCGAAGCGAGAATAATGACTTGGTAGAAAACTAATGATAGAAGAAGTGAACTTCGTTTTACTAAAGTTTGCCGAGAAATTTTTTTCACATTTTTGGCAAACAAAACTACACAACAACGAGTGGAGTGTTTACAACTAGTTCTATTATGACAGCTAAAAATATTGTGTAAGATTCACAATAGGAAATATTAATTCTATCCTATTTAAAACTGGACTGCCGCTCTAAGCGTAATGAAACCACTTAATGCTGGATATGAAATAAATCTATAGCTGTTTAATCACCTAGACCATTTGCACAAAAGTGTCAATTGGTGTGGAAGTCAGGGTCAGGGCAATGGCTTTTTTTCTAAAAAATATGTTAGTTTGTTTACGGACTTGGATCAAATGAATTTTAAAATATCTTTATGTAATAACAATTGAAATATGATTTCTCATATTAAGAATAGGCTAATGAATAGATTCTTTTATGGATTTCTATTGGATCTCTGTATTAATCCTCCTGGTTTGTATTAATCCCTGTTACGAAATATCTGGTCGTATTTCTCTAAGCCACGTCCAAGGGTCAAGAATGTTCTATGAAGGAAGCTGTTAGATTACATGTTATTCCAGTTTTCCCAATCTGTATTTCATCTGAGTATCTTCTTTTACAGTGTTATTAATACCCTTTAAAAGAAAAGTTTTCTAGCATAGTATGGTTGGTAAGCTGTAACTAAAACGGTACTTAAACTTATATGACAATGTACGCTTAAATGTTCACTCTCATTATGGCAGCTCTTAAAGAAACATATTTAACAATAGGTCGACCTACAGTAAACCCGAATTCTACGGCATCTTTAGGCAGAAAAGATACTTCTTACAAGTATTCCATACATTGTTTTATTAATTAATAAAAGTTGGTAAAATGTAAAACAAAGAAATGGGGCAAACTAAAGAAGGAAAAATTACAGGAAATTTTACCACCATTCCGTCTCCCTGAGTGACCATCTGGGTTTGAGCTCTTAACGCAACTTTGGTTGAACTTAAAACCTGGCCTTTACATTTTCTCAATAACGGAGACCCCTATAAGACAAGCCCCGAATCACCCTCAGCCAAGAATTAAATTGGCCGAAACAATCTGTGGGCCACTGTCGAACTCTTTGTATAATAATCGGTGGCAATTTTTAAATTTAGCAAAATCTGTTCAAATCTCCATATCTTTGGGATTCTCCAACTGCGTTACAAATTTCCTCGTCACTGCACGTACTTTTGAATAGCACTCGTCGCCGGGTCACTTATGATACTGCTACTCACCGGTGTACTCCCAATACCAGTGCTTATTGCCACATTTCCTTATTGTGAAGCTCTCCCTGTGTAATTTTCTTTGTGGGTGTCCTGGATCGTGCAATAGCTTTTCCAAATACACACTGTCAAAGAAGATTGTCGAAAGTCAATATTAAAGCAAAATAAGGAAGTGAACATCTTGAAAGCAAATCCACTTGGAAGTGGACATCTTTGAGCTAACTTTTGTACCCACACCTTAAACACGCCAAGGTCCAGAATCCACGAGTGGAAATAAAATGTAATAGCAAAAACGAACACAGCACACGCCCGCCCCGCACAATAATAGACAACAACTAATAAACCAAAGTGACAAAAAACTAATAATACATCAACACATAAATATACAAACAAACAAAAAGCAAAAATAAGATGATATAAAAAAATAATAACTCTTTCAAATTAGTCTCTCCGAAGTTTTAGAATTTAAGAAAATCCCTGAATTCTTATGAGAAACCTCTGTTAGGCCCTTGTAGTCACTCTAACTATGTTCCTTATCATGGATGATATTCTAATAAGGGCTAATGGATTCAGACAAGGTTAGATTTGTTTGTATTAGCTAAAGTCTACTTAGGAAAAATTCTCTAAAGTCCCCAGACTTGAAATCACATAACGCTCTCCAATTTCAAAAATGATCAACAAGCCTCTTTAGGTTCAAAAAAGACTCAAGAAGGAGTTATGAACAGACATTCGCTGAAGATATATAATGGGCTCATGACTTAAAACAGAAGGTTCTAGTGATTTTTTTGGGTGGGGGGGGGGGGTGGGGGGGGGGGGGGGGGGAGACAAAACAACTAAACCAAACAGATCTATACATTCCATATTCTTCAATACTGCATTGCCCTTATCATTTTCACTACATTCTCCATTTCCAAGTAAAAGGACACCCTAAATGCTCGTTCCAACCTTTCCCTGCCCAAAT